AAGATGAATTTATGATCCCTCCCGCTAACGGGGCTAGAATAAGCAAGAAAGCCAATGATGGAGGCTCTGTTACTGTAGTGATTTTGTACTTTCCACTGCCACTTGCTCCCTGATTTACAATGGAGTGGGGAACCTCGAGATTAAAAAAAAAAAAAAAAAAAAAAACCAAAAAAAACCCCCAACAAACCACCCACCAAATTGAAAAGGCGCCCCGTGTTTTGGTTTCTTTCTTCCCTCTCCCACCCTGCCTTGCCCTGTCAGGCCATTAATTCTAACAGAAACCACCAGCTCTGGTTTTTTCCCTCGAACCCCTCAGCTGTTGCAGGGAGACAGCTGCACCCTCTGGAACTAATTACAGCTGTCTGGGAGATTTAGCCCTCCATCCCAACAACTCCAATATTGCTGCTAATTTTTAACACGTCCAGTTGGAAGATGTCATAATAGGCTGATATATGATCGAATCTTGAAAGTGCTACAGCGCAGCTGCTACCGGGCATCTGGCGGGGTGAATATATTGATTTAAAAAATAATGCTTATTATTTTTAGCCTTTCTGCTCTCCTCGAGGCTGTAGCTTTGCCCGGGTGGCAATGGAGAGCGGGTGCTTGCCCAGAAGGGTGGTGGCAGGCGGGTGCCGGCATCCCGTGCAGGGCAGTGGGTCCTTCTGGGGAGCTTGGTGCTCCTCCCTCGTAGAATCATGGCATGGTTTGGGTTGGAAAGGACCTCAAAGATCATCTCGTTCCAACCCCCTCCACCATGGGCAGGGACACCTTCCGGGTTGCTCTTCCAGCCCTCCGCACCGGGATCAGCACCGTCGCTCTGCCAGCACCTCCCAGGCACCACCTTTGGGCTTGGGAGAAGCTGCCAAAGGGGCCTTTCTGTCCCTTGCCCCGTGTCCCTGTGGTTGTCGTAGCAGAGAGGGTTTTCCATCTCCTGGAGGAGGAATGTCTAACTTGCTGTAGCTGACCATATCTTGTTTCTGGCTTCTCAAGTGATTAGTTTGCCCTCGTGTGTCTCCTGAGGGACCTAAGCTGGGCTGAGTTCAGCCTGACGCTCCTACCGAGCTGTTTCCCTGCCTGCCTGCGGTAGCTGGTGCCCGGTGCTTTCCAGGGAGCCAGGAGGAGCTGCTGGCTTGTGGTTGCTCAGTAATTCCTGGGAAACTGCTTGCAGCCGGGATTGTCCTTCCTGACCTTTCTGTCCCCTCTGAAACGTTAGTATGAGTGGCCACCTGCGGCATTAGTCTCCTTTTAGTGCAGACGAAGTCAGGTAGCTTCCCCGTGACCCCCTTGAAGATGTTCCCATTTCTCCAGAGCACCAAGCGAGGTTCACGCATGCCAGCAATCTCCTGCTTCGGAGGGGGCCGAGAGACCTGTGGATCCCTTCCACCAGCCAGAAGGTCTTTGCCTGAGCCCCAACGCTGCAAAAACCACAAGCAATCGCTGATAAGGTGATCTGTAGCTTGTAGCAGTTTCTTAATCTGCGGGCAACCAGGCACGCGTGCGTCTTGCCTGAGTTACAAGCTGTCCAGGGCTCCAAGTGATGCTTGTAAACTCTGTGAGCCCTGAAATGATGGGCTCTGGGGCATGAATGGTTAGTGCGGGAGCACGTTCGCTCCCCAGGTCCCAAGAGGAGGGAGCGGGTCCAGCGAGGCAGCGCTGGAAGGGTTTGCAAATCCTGTAACTTCAGGACTGAGGCACCCAGGTAGATTATAAATCCTGGGGTAGCTTGTAAACTCTATGAGCCCTGAAATGAGGGGCTCCGGTGAGTATTAAAGTCGGCAGCTTTTACATCTGTGAGCCTTGCAAGGAAAGATTCCCACAAATTCCAGGTCTTCCACGTTTCTCTCCCAGCCCCAGGAATGATGGAGAGGATGGATAGCATGGGGTCTGGATGCTGCAGTTGTATTTTGATGCCCAGAGGTGTTCTGATGCCCAGAGGTATTCTGATGCCCAGAGGTATTCTGATGCCCAGAGGTTTTCTGATGCCCAGAGGTATTCCCGCTGCAGTTTCTCCATCCTGCAGCACGTGTTGGCCGCTGCGGCCCCGTAAAGGCTCTTTGGTACCTCCATGACCAGAATGGAAACCTTCAAGTCTTGAATCCCAGAGGAGCGCTGGCGGCGAAGAGCCGTGGGCTGGGGTCTGGCCGAGCTTTGTAGCTCGTCACTGGGTGAGTGGTTCAGCTCCTGGAAGAGCTCAGCTCCATGGAGTTTACAAACTCCACAGCCCACGGAGCTGTGCGGGTTCCTTCTCCGTGGATCTTGGCATCCTGACCGTGCATCCCAACACTCCGCTGGTGGGCTGGGGGAAGCAGAGTGAACGTGGCTGCGACCAGAGGGTGGCTGAATTTAGAGGTCGGGGGAGCTTAGGGGGGACTCCTCAGATTGCCGTAGGCTCTGAACAGAAGAGCCTGAAACATCGTCAGATAGAAAGGCAAAATTTATGCCACAAAAATGCATCTTCAGTTGCATGTGGTCACTTTAATGCTCACACGGTTCTAGTTTTACATGCCGATCCCTTTGATAGCAAACGTTTTAATAGACAGAGAACATATGGGAGAAATCATGCCGAATCAGATGATAGATATTATTTAATCTGGGCAGGCAAGCCCGTTCAAAAGGGACAAGGAGAAATTTTCATTCCAGGGGGGTTATAGGACAGGCCTTGAGGTTGGGGAGAAGGTGTTTCTGTGTCTGAGCAGAGACCTGGCATCTCCTGAGGCCTCCTAGGTCTGCCCTGAGAGCTCAGACGAGTCAACTGCTCTCTGCATCCCGGCCTAGAAAGTGGGAACTTTGCTGGATGGGGTTTGCAGAGAACTCCTTCAGCGTGGGGCACCCCGTTATACCCATGTCGTGGGTGTACACCGAGACGGGTCCGGCTTGGTAGATGCTCTGCAGTCACTGAGTGAAGAAAAACCCCAACAGCCCTGGTGTGGCAGGCGGAGGGAGGCTTCGAGCAGGAGAGGGACTGACATAAATTCAGCCTTTTTGGGGAGGTGGGTGTGTTTTTTGAATTCACTGAAGCAACCAAGCTTGGAAATCTCTGAACCATCCCGGGCAGGAGCCTGCAGGCTACCTGGACCCGTGCGAACGCTGCCGTTCAGTAATGCTGTAATTATTAACAGGAAATTTTGTGCTCCAGCGAAGTAAACACCGTGGGAGTAACACTTCAGCCCCCGTTTGACTTTTTTACCAGCCTCAGAAAAGGGCGGGGAGAGAGGGTGTAGAAACGGCCCGGAGCGTAACGGAGCCAGCAGCTGCGGGGCGGCATTCGCGGTGACGAGACGCAGGTCTGTGCACCCCGAGCCCCCCAGCCAGGGCTGTGGCATTGCCCCCTCCTCTGCCCCTTTCCCTTCCCCTATTTGAGGGCTGCCGGGGCAGCCCAGGAGGCTCTGCCACAGAGTGGTGTGGCATTGGGGGACACCTCCGTCCCCACGCTTCCCTGGGCACCCAGCCCTTGCCTGCTGTCTAAATTAGAGCTGTCCCAGTGCAGCTCCAACTGTGTTCCTCTGGGCTTCCTTGGATCCCCCCTTCATCCTCCCAACGGAGATATTTGTCCCGTTTTCCCTCCCGCCAGGAGACAGTCAGCAACCAGATGATGCTGCCGGTTGCTGCAGGTCAGCAGTGAGCGCTGGGCGTGATGAGCAGCTCCACGTCCGTGTGTTTTGGTCGGAGAGTCGTTTCTGTGTCGCCCATCTGGGTACCCAGCGAGATTCAAATTGAGATGTCGAGACGTGCTTGCAGCAGACCTTGCCGTTGGGGGCAGTTTTATCCGTTGGCTGCCATCTCCCCTGCTTCCCCTCGTCGTGCCGGTGTTACGGAGGTGAGCGCTAGTGGCAAACGCACCGGAGTCGTCCCTCGTTATTTTAGCAGCAAATAGCCCGGGGGAAAGCACGCCAGCGAGGGGAGGTGGTGGATTCGGAAGAGAATCAGCCCTTACTTCCCCCTCCATCGGCCTCCAGGGCCTGAAGAAGCTTTATGAAGACAGGAATTGGCCGTACCCCGTGCGGGACTGATGGAGGAGGACAAGTGAGGTCGAGTTTTTTAGAGGGAGAGCCGCCAGCTCCCCTACCGTACGGAACCTCACGGGCTGCCTGAGGCGCAGCCCCGGGGAGCGAGCAGCTGCGGCAGCGCGGTGCCCTGCTCGGTAGCAGGGTTTGTATTTTAGTAGTGAAGCAAAGCAGGTTTAAATGAGCATTGACATGACTTTGACATTTTTATATTGTGGGTTATTTTATGAACTTATCCAGCAAAGGCGGCGATGCACTCTGCAAACAGGCGCCGCGGCGCTGGAGGACCGGGGTGTTACTCCTTCTCTTGTCAGCATGCCCTACATCAAGCGGGGCCAAACCTCCCGAACCCAGCGGCATGGTTAGCCTCCGAATGTGTTTCGCGACACTGATGAATGCTTCTTTCTGCACTGTTTTCAAATCTCCTTTTCTGTCAACTCCCAGGGCGGCCAGAAAACAGATGCGCTCGCAGCCCCGCTAATGAGCTGCGGAGCAGCAGGAGCAGCCGCTGGCTGGGGCAGGGGGGTGCTGGGGGAGCTGGGGCCGGAGGC